TTTGCACCACCATAATCCTGCATGTTTAGTTTATTACGGATAAATTCGGTACCATGGCAACTGGTTAGCGTTGACAAGGCAAGTGGTTTTCTAGTGCGCGTGTTCATGATATCAACCTCCGGGTTATCCTTAAGGCGTAGAATACCCTTATCATCTATATAAAACTTCGAATAGTCTTTGTACTGAGGCTCGACGTAGTTTCTATCGTTTTTTAATCCATCGTAATAATCGTCTACTGTTGTTTTAAGTAGTTGGCTGCTCAATGATGAGTTAGTAAACGAAATGTCTTCATCGTAATCAACATCATCAGAGGCCATAGCTCCAAAATCATCCATCGGAATATCATCCATATTTTTGAAATTATATTCATATAAATATATAACAATGTCATATGGTAGAAAACTAAATCCTTTTCGAAGATTAAGAGAACCACTAGGCGTCAAAGCCGTGCGTCAGTCGGTGACTATTACAAACAACCCCAGCAAGATAGACCAGAACCAAGTAGATTCCCCAACTTGGGGGAGAACGACGTAATAGTACCAGGTACGGTACGATTGGCATTTAACATCACGTTGAAATCAGACAACGACAAACGTGAGCTAGTGAATAATGTGGGTCGTGCTATAGTCAAGAGGACCTCCATAAAAATTAGTGGTAACGAGGTGCTTAGCATAGATGACAGCGATGTATATAACTGTTACAGAGACCTATGGAAAAGTGAGGGAGAACGCGCCAACGACGTGTACCAGGGAATCAGTAAATCGACTAGGTTACGTATAGGGTATGCCTTCACACAAGAAGAGACAGCCAAACTATCGAAAAGTGAAAAAGCCATCGCCGAAGCGTATGGATACAGGTTCTGTATCCCGCTAGACTTTGAGTTGCTAACGGGGCACGCACCATTTTACCAAGCCGCATTAGGTGACAGGTTGGAATATGAACTCAAGGTTCAATGATTACAGCAAAGTCGTGTATACACCGAACGGTGAAGAGGGTAGTTATGAGATCGATAACATCTCGTTGGAGTTCGACATGGTGACTAATCCTGATCTCGCCCGGCAGATTCGAAATCAGTACTCTGGGAAAATGACCATCCTGTACGATAGGATACTGCGACATAGAATGATATTACGTGATAAGAGCGACACGGTATGGAATATCAACATGAACGTGCCGGCGCGATCGATGAAAGGTATATTAATCATACCCGTGGAGGAATACGATCCATTCGAAAGAGACAGCGATAAATTTTTCAACCCAGGGATCACCAAAGTGGAAGTGACCATAGAGGGAGTACCTAATCAGCTATTTAGCCATGGAATGAAGGCATATCAGCAGTGGGATGAAATAATGAAGCTACCGGCTATCAAACGAAACTCAATTGTCAACAACGTAGTCAATGACCTGGATCTATCCTCCGTGCATATCGGGGATTACCTAACCACCAAGTACGCATTGTGGTTGGATATGAGATCTACAGATGACGACACTCAACACGGAAGTGGTCGTCGAATCGACAACGGAAGCGAGGGTATAACCATTCAAATAATGAAGAAGGCTCAACCAACTGGTAAATTGAAATTATATTTATATGTAATTATGGACGCGCAACTTAATATAGAGAATGGGAGATTTGTGCAAGCCATCTATTAATTTACCACGAGATCCGCACTGCGCCATAGTATGTGGGCAGACTGGTTGTGGTAAGACAGTTTTCGTACTGGATTTGTTGGAGGGGTACTATAAAGACGTATTTGACAATATCATTATCTTATGTCCTACTATAAATATGAACAAGACTTACACGGACAGATCTTGGGTGATGAAGGATCCCGATGTATATAAAATCGATCCGGGAACACACCTGCAGGACTATTTGAAAGTTTATCACAACAAATTTAAAGGGAAGCCGACGCTGTTCATCCTGGATGACTGCAGCGCTAATAGAGAGATAACGAAAAAGAGAGATATGCTGTCCTACCTAGCGTTTTCAGGTCGGCACGCAGAACATAGCGTCTGGGTGTTGACACAAAAATTCAACTCTGTGTTAAAGGATTTACGTGAACAGACGCTATGGGTAGCTCTATTTCACTGCAAGGACAGGGATTCGTTCGAGGAATGCTTGAGAGAGAACGATGTGATGAGTAAACTAGACCGGGAACGGGTTAAGAAACAGCTCGCCCAAACAAAACATGCTAAGCTCGTGTTGAAAACAGACCAACCAGTGGATTACCAAGTAATAGTTTAGTAATTTTTAGTAAATTTTAGTAATGTTTTAGTAATGTTTAGTAAATTTTAGTAATGTTTTAGTAATTTTTAGTAAATTTTAGTAATGTTTTAGTCATTTTAGTAAGTTTTAGTATAAATGTCGGTTTTTGAAGTTATAGTCGTGTGTAACCTAACCTTTATCTCTCTGTATTTAGTGTGGGTTGGTTATTATTTAAAAAAAATTAAAACTAGATTACTATATTATAAAATGGATTGTGATGAATTACTAGAACAGATATTAGTTTCAGATGAACAAAAGGACGACAAGCAGCGAGACAGACTGGTAACACTAGTTGTGGGTGGTAAGGCAAAACAATATTTAGGAGATAATATAACTACTGATAAAATTCAGAAAATGTCAGATGAGGAAATAAATAAATTATACGCCAGGTATGAGTCAAAACTCGGGGCTGAGATGACAAAATTTATAGGTTCTACTATTACCCAGATTTACACAGGTATAGCGTCATTATTTTTACCCATACCACCGGAACGTAGACTCTATTTGTGGGAGGACCTAGAGAAAGACCCGTTTATTGAACACGCTTTGAGCTCTATCAGCTGCGTGTTGTACCACAAATACGGGATGTTTTTAGCCCCGGTGACGGCGGCGATTATCACAGCAAAGCATTGTCAATTTAAAGAGGAAAAAAAAAATAATAATAATATACAAGATAGATACTACCCAGGAAGAAATAACCAAGATTCCAGAGGAGGAAACACCGAAGACGGAGCCAGTGACGCATGCCACAAAGAAGAAGAACAAAAAAAGAGTTGAAGCTGGTAGAAAAAAACGCCTTAGCCAGGCACCATAAAAATAATTACACATTGTGGTTTACCGTAGGTGGTGTAGTAGTCACTGCTGTTGTTTCATTATTTATGTTATTTAAACCAAAACAAACACAACCACAGCCATCACCAACACCTCCAGAGGAGATCAACCCTCATATTATGTTATAATTAAAATTATATTTCTATTAATATATATTATGTCTGAGGGAAAAAACATTCGTTAATGATGCATACCACGCCTTAGTGGTTTCCGGATAAGCAGTAGGATACGCTCGGTTGACTAAAATGATTATAAAACAACCGACTATAAAACTCGACTTCGACCTGCAGGATATTGCTATGCTTACTATGAATATTGGTATGGCGATGGCCACCAAGGACGTTCTGATAAAACAAGGTATTATACCGGAAAATATTTTAAAGTAATATATATAATATGGCCACGATAGCAATGATGGTTGGTGGAGCTCTTGTGAATGCCCTAGCATTTTCCGGGAGTAATTATCTATTTTCTAAATTACGAGAGTCAAACGCGGCTGAGGTAGAAGCGGAGAGACTGACTGACTGACTGAGTTTGGTTTTACGCCGCTTTTAGCAATATTCCAGCAACATCACGGCGGGGGACACCAGAAATGGGCTTCACACATTGTGCCCATGTGGGGATTCGAACCCGGGACTTCGGCGGGACGAGCCAACGCTTTAACCATTAGGCTACCCCACCGCCCCAGAAGCGGAGAGAAAACGACACGATATAGCTGTAGAAAAACTGCAGACCGCACAGGCTGAATACGCTAAGAGACGCATGAAGAGATTAGATTTTATCAATAATCAACTACAACAGGAAAATCATTCTGTTAGAACTTTCAAGGACGTCCACGAAGCTATGAAAGAATACTACGTGCTAACAGGTAAACAACTAGAACCATTAGGCAATGCACCAAGGATTTCTCAGTATTACACTCCTTCCCATGGGCAAAAAGATCGTGAGTTGGTATTCGTGGGACTGGGTTTAGCATCGATAGTGTTAATTGTGAAACAATTAGACTAATCACACAAATTATTATATCAAAAAATGAGATACGCACCATATCTTTGTCAATGGGTTCTTATGGGGAAAACTGAAATTTGTGGTAATAAAAGCCACATTGAGGGTTATTGTTGTTTTCACCGTAAAGGAGTTAAAGTTCATTACCGATTATGTAAAGACCACGGCGCGGATAAATTACGATTTAAACTTATTTATGATAAGAAAAAAGACTACATCTTCGAAGTTAAACGTTTGTTAAAGATAATGGTATAAGTATATATTTTTTTATCCCTGTGGTATGATTTGTAATTCCTCACGTACGAATCCTCTACGTGGTCCATCTTTCAAGAAGTATAAGTTAGGTTCCCCGTCTTTGATATCCACTCGACTGATATTGTACGTTTTCATAGACCATATAGGATCTGTAGCACGTTTACGGGTGTCTCCCTCGTATTCACCTGGTTGATATAAATATCTAACAAGCGCGCAATCTGGAATTTTTTTTCCCTTTTTACGACCGGGTGCTGCTGCCTCTGATACAACGGATTTCATACGGATTGCTTCGACTGGTCTCTTATCAAGTAGTCTTGTTATTTCATGATTCACGAAGTCAACCACCCATGGAAGTCGTTCTACCCATTCAGTGTTTCTGTTATTAGGATCCGCTAAATCACGTGAATATTGGTGTGAAAACAAACGTTCAGCTATGGAGCGATTGAATCTCTCTACTATAGCTTGACTTCGATGGGCACCCACCTCACCGCGTCTAACTTCTACGTTATGCTTGGTTAGCAGTTTCGACACTGATCCCATGAATTCCCGGCCTGGATCGACTTGCAATAAATCAGGCCATGTAATCCGACTACGCTTGTATATTCTCTTAAATGCTTGTGCTACTTGATCCGAGTCTTTCGTGGTTAATGGTTCAGCTTCCTTGTAGCGGCTGGCTACGTCTACAACTGCCAGGGCGTACTTATAGGTTTTACCTCTAACCCTGTCGTGTGGAAGAAACAACAGGTCGGCCTGGTGAACTTGATTTGGTGTATGTATACCGAATTTTCTCCTCGGTATATATTTTGGTGCTGGTAAGTATATTTGCCATATAGCTTGTTTTTGTAACCAGGCTTTGGCTTTTTCTTCCGAAACACGTGCGGCTTTAGATAATTTTGTAATAGCGTCTACCCCCTTTCCAATATCCTCGCGGGCTGTAGTAAATTTTCTCCATTATATATATAAATTTAAATTTTTTTATGACCGTAAGCAAAGGTTTTGACACCATCTGAAGCTATCCATCGTTTTGTATCCATTGGTGATAGAGATGTTTTATTTATAGTCATCCCGTATATCTTGTGCCAGTCACTACGAAGTATGTTCATCTGGTGTTTGAACGTTTTCTTCTCGAACAGGGTCTGTTTGTAGAGAGTATGTTTAATATGTCGTTTCACCACGTTCTTTTTCACACCTTTAGCCTTTCTTATTTCAGCATCATCTGCTTTTTTAATAGAATACATCTTAGGTCTCAATCCAACGTATTCGGTGATTGGTGTGCCAGCACATTCATCCTTCATCTTACCTAACACCTTTTTTGTTGACTTGGCTATGCATAGGGTGGTCTTTTGGGTAATCGCTGGTATCGTATAGGTGTATATTGTTTTTAATATCCTCGTACACGTCCTCGGTTTGAATTTCCATGAGTAATGAATCCATATCCGTGTACAACACCTCACACCCTTCACTGTATTGTTTCTTGAGCTCGTTATAGTAGAAGTCATACATGAGATGTTTTGATAGGTCTAGAATGCTCATACCAACATAAACCGGTCGATTAAGTATAATGTGGCTCTTTTTCATATGTATCGCTGCCAAGTCATCATCGAATATAATACTTCTATTGTACGCCGGGCTGGATATCAATTTCCTGAGTTTGTTTTCCTCACTCGACCGGACTAGCTTCACGTTAACGCGTTTTCGTAAATTCTCCATCGTTTTACCAAATACAGAGTTGTTCATGAGTTTGTACAGGTTTTTCTCGAAGTCGCTTGTGGCTATCTTACGTAAATCCGTGTTCATTCTGATGTACGGTTCCATGCACTTACTTTGATTGAATTTTAGTACCCTATGTATTTTAGTCAGCTTCATACCCAGCGACAGATATAGTTGTAAATTGCGATAGTGAATGATGTACTTGGTTTTTCAACGTTTACCACCCGTCCTGTAGGACCCAGCAAATTTCGTTGGTAGTCAGACATCCATTCCATATTCACCTTCAAACGCTCTGGAGCCAGGGGATAACTGTTGTGTGAGGTGTGTAAATCCTCCGGATATTCTAAATCCACTTCGAGTATATAACCCTTGTTAGAATCCGATGCGATGCTCATAACATCATCGATCTCAGATGTCCACTCGAAACCACAGGTAGGTAGATACTGGCTCATGGCCCAGCCGTACAGGTTGTTGGCATCGAGGTATAGTAGATAGTTTAGGGTTGTAGCCTTTCACATACTCGTTGTTAGCTTTGGCATAACGTTTTGATACCATAGAAATACCACCGCGTAACCCTTTCTCTATAAACAGATGCATATCGTAATCGGCGAATAATCCTAATTTAACACCGGTTTTCTTCAGTAGGGCATCCCACGAGAGCCCAGGACTTGAATAATACCATGCCGGGTCCAACCCGTATTGCTTCGAACACGTTTTTCTCAATATCTCGAAAACATCAGCCAGCAATAACACATCTGTTTTCAAATACAAATCGTGATAATCACCTAGATTATGACAACCCAGTTTTCCCATACTTTTTTCGCGTGTTCGTAATCGTCTTGTGTGATAGACGCGTCAGACAGCTTGCTATAGAAGCGGTCAATAGGAGGTAACTGTGTCTCATTAAACTTAGACCAGTCATCCATGTATTCATATGGGTAGATACCCTTACGTAACAGCAAAGCTCGAGTTTCCTCTTCTGTGTAACGATTAGTTACAGCTAAGTCATTCGGGTTATTAGCCTTGACCAAGCTGTCTAGAGACGACAACAGAAACTGAACACTATCTATGAATCTCAACCCATTTAGCGAAAAGGATATATATCTTTCCATATTGTTTGGGATACAGGATATGTTGCCTTTTACCTTTGCAATAGCTTGCATAATCAAGTGTGAATCATACCCGCGAAGATTGTGAAACACCACTGGTATATGAATAAGTTTAGGATTTATTCTTAGCTTCAAGTTACATTCATTGTGAGCCGCACCTCTGTATTTACCAGTAATGTGACAGTGATCTCTAACTGAATCACCATTCAGAGGTTTACAGCACACATGACAATGTGTGCTTTTGTTGTGGGCTTCCCGGTCTGCTTGGGTCATACGCATTGGTGTTTTGTTACATAGTTTTTTAATAATCATTTTCTCTTCGTGTTGTAAACGCTTTAGAAATTCTTCAGCCGCGTCTGGTCCTCTATAAATAACTGGAGGGTTAGTTTGACCATCACAACGAACGACCACATACCCGAACCCACACGCTTCATGCTCTTGTACTTTTTGTGTGAAACTTTGATTAGTGGATTGAGCTACTGTATCTATTGGTTTAATGATAGCTTCGAAGTCGGCGTAGATAATATATGGTACTGGCATTTGATTTTTGTGGTTGATAAATTTCAAGATGTTGGTTTTTTCTCTCGGCATATCTATTCATACGGCTGTCTCCCCCACACCTAGGCAATCAACCCTGTGTGAATCAAGCAGATCAGCCCTAGAAAACCCGTGAAGGCACCTTTCACAAAAGTGTTTCTTTTCCCTGTGTTTCGATTGATTGTACAACAGTCGGTTGAAATTCTTTATCCATGTGTAGTGATATTTTTCACCTTGTTGGATCATAAATATATTGATCATTTTACGACAATCCTTATACAATAAAGGACTTATCCTGTGTACTATTACGTTTTTACCTTCGTGTCCGAAAACGTTCTATGGCTAAGTCTTGATTCTGTTGTTCTATTTTTTGGATCTGAGAGATGGGGGTGGGTTCGTCTATACCTTCCCAATTGATTCCGTCATCTTCTGGATAACTGGAAAGTCTATCGGAATGTTTTTCAACTGGAAATTTAGCAGATCTTATCGCTATCCTCATACAATTGTTGTCTCGGTTTTTTACGTTAACCATAGCTTGTTTTTTCTTGAAATACTCAGAAAGGGGTAAGTACGATCCACCTTTCAACGGTATATAGTTTGCTATATCCAGGTAGACCATATTAATCTTGTCAACAACCCAACCAGAACCCATATTAGTGTAACGTTCTAGTGTTTCTCGCATTTTTTTCTAATGATCTGTCTATAGAAGAGTTGATAGTGTCTGGTTGCGTTGTAACTTCTTGATTACCTCTGAAGTAAACATTGGTGTATTCAGTTGTTTCATTCGACTGTTGTTTCTCTAGTGTCATGTTTAACGTGAGTTGAAATTTAATACCTCTTAAATCTTTAAGTTCTTCGTTTACTTTGTCAAATACCAATGGTTTTATGTCTTCAACATCTATGTTTCTTTGAACTTCCATCATCCAACCTCTCAAATATTTACCTACAGCATGCTCAGTAGGTGTGAATTGTAATTCTATAGGTTTTTGTTCTTTCAGTAATTCAGTTAGCTCAGATTTCCTCATACGAGAATAACCTTGCATTCCACCTTAACGAGCTTGCTTTGTTAGTTCTTTCACAGTAGGTGTTTTTTGATATTTAAAACCTAATAAATCTAGTAATTCATGTTTTCTCATACGAGAATAACCTCGAAGTCCACGGTCTCGTGCTTGCTTTTTCAATTCATGTACTGTAAACATATCATAAAGTTACAAACACAGCAGTGTTGATATTATATGTGAAAACAATTCTCTAAATAGACAAACATCCTTCATGTTAAACATAAGATGATGTAATAGATATAGGATTGTGTAATCTTACCCGTAACATACACCTTTCATACATCGAGGGACTTGATACGATTTGACTTCATTAAATGTGACACTCTAATGGTGATAGAAAAAATTTAATAGATACTTATTGATTGCTTGCCTTATATAGGATGACCCCATACTCCATAGTCTTACTCTTTCGAGTAAGACTATGGTTACTTTTTATCTCCCCTGTAAAAGTATCCATAGTCTTACTCTTTCGAGTAAGACTATGGTTACTTTTTACAGGTCAGATAAAAAGTATTTTTGTATGGGTTTATGGTCCTGTACCACATAGTCTTTCGAGTAAGACTATGACTACTTTTTTACATGGGAGATGAAAAGTAGTTGTGTTATGGTTTTTAAAAATTAATATGAGTTAGGAATAGATACTTATTGATTCCTTGCCTTATATAGGCTGGTCCCGTACCCCCATTGTTTATACTACTCATCACAAGATGAAACATATCATGTGAAATATATCTCAACTATCATTTGGAGGGCCTTTTCAACGATCTTCTTAAATCTGCCATGCCAACACCCCAAGTAATAATAAGATACATAATTTTCAAATCATGTATGACCTATTTCAACTTATTACTGACCCTACGAAGGTCACCCAAAACTCTAGCACTTTGTTAGATATTAGTAGATTAGTAGATTAATCAATAACTTTGGCGAGACGTAGAACGTATCATCCCCGTAGACGTTGAGTGAACACATGAATCAGTATCATTATAATCTCAGTGAGCTAAACTCAGTAAATTAACTCAGTAAATTCGATCATATTTCAAAACAAGTTCAGAATTTTATAGCACCCAGTGTCTTAATCCCGTATAACAACACCGACGCAACATGAACGAGATTATACTGTAATAACAAAATCCTACTTCACGGGAATCCATTACGCAATGGCACGGGTTCACTTTTATGGCATGTAATACACTCAGTCAATCAGTATGTCTGGTACACTGTTATATAGTCCATATAGCGTAGGTGTATGGAATTTGTATTCATACGAACATTGAGAAAGGTAAAAAAATAAATATATTTGCGCTTTTGTGGATAACAACTAAAACATACACTTGAAACTGACTTTTGAAAATGCTCGCAATACTAGCGGTAAATAGAACAGTCAATATAAATTTTT